AACAAGAACTAGTCAGGAGGACCTTCAGGAGGTCCACAGACCTGTTGGACTACTTTAACACATGAAAAAACAAGGACTGGATCAGGAGACATGGTTTGATGGACATGTATGTTCAGGAGACATGGTTTGATGGACATGTGTCCACAGGTACGTTCAAGGAGACATGGTTTGATGGACATGTGTCCACATGTATGTTCAGGAGACATGGTTTGATGGACATGTGTCCACATGTATGTTCAGGAGACATGGTTTGATGGACATGTGTCCACATGTATGTTCAGGAGACATGGTTTGATGGACATGTGTCCACATGTATGTTCAGGGCCCAGTATTTATTTGTCTTCAGTAATCATCAGCTGATGTATCAGCCAACCCTTAAACATCCACACCTRTCATTATCTGATCTGATTCAGAGCTGAGACCTGCAGCTGGACTTCCTGATCCACCAGAACCTGAGACAGAAGACACGCCCACAGCCTCACCTCTGTACAGCCATGAGACAATGATTACAGCAGGACAAAGGTCCAAACTGTCAGCTTCCGAGGGTTTATCTGTGTGAAAGTTCCTCCACCTGCACAAACATGTCAGAGTGCAGATTCATCTGGAGACCCTTACATAACCCAATAAATAGAAATAAATTATAATAAATACAAATAAATAAATACAAATAAATAATAATAAAAATAAATATGAAAATAATAAATATACATCTTTAGGGTTGTAAGAATTTATTTAGAACAACTGCACAACTTCAGAAAGTAAAGTGCTGAAGAGTCTTTTATTCTGACAAGGCCTGGTAACTTCCTGTTAGTGATCATGATCGACTGCAGAAGTTGTTTCTTTTAGATGTTGAGGAAAAACCCAGGAACCACCAAGACCAAAGAACCAACTGGAACACCAGAGTCCCTGTCCACCAGAGTCCCTGTCCACCAGAGTCCCTGTCCATCAGAGTCCCTGTCCACCAGAGTCCCTGTCCATCAGAGTCCCTGTCTACCAGAGTCCCTGTCCATCAGAGTCCCTGTCTACCAGAGTCCCTATCCATCAGTGTCCCTGTCCATCAGAGTCCCTGTCTTACCAGAGACATGAATGAGACAGATGTCCTCGGGGAAAAGTTTGACAGTCACACAAGGCAAAGACTGAGGTGTTTGGACACAAAGACAACAAGGACATTTACAGGGGTCTAGGTGAGACTTTTAGACCCAAAGACACTGAGCCAACTGTCAGGCATGGTGGAGGCAGCATCATGAGAGACAAAGTGAGGAGGACTATGTCCAAATTCTCAACTTGGACACAGTGGGGTCCAACAGGACCACGGAGCTGGTCTCTGATTAAAACCAGAGTCTGAAACCAGGAGACAACCCAGTTTAGATGAACTCTACCAAGAAGAAGACAAATAAACCGTAATAATTAAAGTCTCTGAGCCCCACCAGCTCTGTCCCTGTTGTCCCTGCTGTGATTTAAACTCTTATTTAAAGCAGAATTATCTTAAAGTCATTAATCTCCATCTTCTTCCCCTTATCTGTAATCAGATCACAGTGGCAATAGGTTCAGGAGAGAAACCCAGACATCCCTCTCCTCAGCGACACTTTCCAGCTCGTCCTAGGGGACCCCGAGGGGTTCTCAGGCCAGCGAGGAATCCCTCCAGCATGTCCTGGGTCTTCTCTGGGGCCTCCACCCAGTGGGACGTGCCCGGAACACCTTTAAAGGGAGGCGTCCAGGAGGCTTCCTGATCAGATGAACTACCTCAACTGACTCCTTTCGATGTGGAGGAGCAACRGCTCWACTCTGAGCTCCCCCCAGATGATGGAGCTCCTCACCTTATCTCTAAAGCTGAGCCTGACCACCCTACAAAGGAAGCTCATTTCAGCCGCCTGTATCCGAGATCTCGTTCTTTCGGTCATGATCCACGCCTCATGACCACAGGTGAGGGTTAGAACGAAGACAGACCAGTAAATCGAGAGCTTTGCCATTCGACTCAGCTTTCTTCACCACGACTGGCCGAAGCAACACCCTCATTACTGAGGATGAGGCCCCAATCCGTCAATCCATCTTCTGCTCCATCCTACCATCACTCATGAACAAGAAACCCAGATACTTAAACTCCTCCACCTGAGGCAGATATATCCCCCGACCCGGAGGGGGCATTCCACCCTTTTCCGGTCGAGAACCATGGCCTGAGACTTCAGCCTGAAACATACTCGCTCCGACGCCGACGGGTCGACGCGCGGTCACGTGGTTGTTCGGCAGTTGTTTTCGCACAGACCTTTCATAGTCCCTACGACACCCCCGCACCGAGTTCAGGAAACCCCCCACCCTGAAACATACGTCACTGCATGGAGTTCCCCCGCAACAGCCGATAATGCAGAAAAAAGTCAGACTCGTTACTCACCCGACGTATTTATCCACATCTGTCCWGGTTAAAGCTCCACAGTGTTTATCAGTCAGATTCCTCCGTGCACAACGTCTGTTTKATCTCAGTTCATGAGTTTTTCACGGTTTGACTATCTTTATAAAACTCTACTTCCTGGTGTCAGCTCTGGGAGTGAGTCGTTCTTTTTCCTTTTTTCCCCCCCGAGCGCAGCACAAACAAACACGCCGACGACCAATCTGACCAATCACACATTACCGTCGACACGGGAGGGGGGTCAAAAAGTTCTGCCGGTGAGTTGTGCCAAAAGGGGCTGTCAGCACGACACTGAGGAGCCCGCTGACATAATTTTCGTCATTAAACTGCGACAACCCGTGCCGACGTCGGCAGTTCGCAGCGAGTATGTTTCAGGCTTTAGAGGAGCTGATGAAGGTCTTGGACTGAAGACGCCAACAGAACCACATCATCTGCAGAGACGAGACCCTGTGGTCCACAAACCAGACAGCCTCCTCTACACGACTGCGCCTTGAGATCCAAGAAACAGGGTCACAAGCCTTCTCCAAGTCCATAAAACACATGTAGACCAGAGAGGCAAACTCCCATGACCCCTTTCGCAACTATGCAAGGGTAAAGATCTGGTCCACTGGTCCACTGGTCCATTGGTCCACACCCAGGATGAAAGCCACATTGCTCTTGTTGAATCTGAGGTATCTGAGGTTCGTCAATCGAGCGAAGCCTCCTTTCAAACACCCTGGAGTAAAACTTCCCGGGGAGGGTGAGAAGTGAGATCCCACGATAGTTAGAGCACACTCTCTGGTCCTCTTTTTTAAAAACGTGAACCACCACCTCGTTCTGCCACTCCACAGGAGTGGTCCCAGTGCTCCAGGCGCTCCCCCCAGGGCCTGGCTCCAGGGAGGTGCCCCGGTTTCCCTATTCGGGGCCAGGTTTCCTGATGTGATCGTTGTTGTTTTGTCATCAAGGCTTTTGTTTTTGGATTAAAGTCATTAATAAGTAATAAAATGAGTCTAGCTGTGATTTAAACTCTTATTTAAAGCAAAACTGACTCTTAAAGTCATTAATAACTGATAAAAATGAGTTTAGCTGTGGTTTAAACTATTATTTAAAAGAAAATTGACTCTTAAAGTCATTAATAACTGATAAAATGAGTCTAGCTGTGATTTAAACTCTTATTTAAAGCAGGATTGACTCTTAAAGTCATTAATAACTGATAAAATGAGTTTAGCTGTGGTTCTTCACATTTTGGACCTGCAGGAAGTTGAGGACAGCTGGGACAAGAAGTCCTCACCTCCTCCAGGAACTTGGTCACATCGTAGACCTTGTTGTGGATGATGATCCATGTGGACCTGAAGGAGTTCTGCGCCTCGATCTCTGACAGTCTGAAGTATCTGACTCCATCCGGACTCTTCTCCTGTTTTTCACCCATCTGAGCGGCGGTCGGTTCGGACGGTTCGGCAGAAGACCCGCTGGGCAGCTACACGGTCTGTGTCGGGTTATATAATCCCAGAGACCGAGTCCGGACCGTGACTCCGCACAAACACTAAAACATTTACCGCAGACGATCCTCCTGGCCAAGTTTCAGGACTGACAAGTTCCAGCAACTAAAGCTGGCTGAGTTTAAAGCTACTTCCGGTTTCTGCTTTCACAATAAAACACATCGAGTCTCTCAGCGCAGTGAAACTACAATCAAACAATCAGAAGTGACTGTTTTTAAAACTGTTCATCTTGTATTGTTGTTTATATGTTAGTGTGTTTCAGTGAACATGTTCACAACAAGTTTTGTTTGTATTTTAAAGTTTATTTATGTTTTATTTTAAAGAAGAATTTTACATTATCCGGAAAAATCACAATTATAAACTCTTACTTCACGAACATTAAATCCCGCCCTCATAACGCTTCCGGCGCCCCCATTGGTCCTCTACTTCCGGGTCTTTAAAACGCCTGTCTCCGATTGGCTGTTTTTTTATCTTGCCAATCATCGGTAAACGACGTGCAGCCGAGGAGGAGGCTGAAGTTCACCGAAGTTCAGCAGTTTTCAAGGAAAACGCCTTCACACGCAAAGATTGCGTTATCTCACGCGCAACTCACGTAATGAGTGTTTTCTTTAACCACGGAGCCAGGAGGCGCTCARAGCTTCCGGTTTAATCCCTGTTGAGATGGACAAGTTGTTGGCACGAGACATTAGTTTTAGTTTAAAGTCCTGCAGCTCCCCGGCGGGAAAACCACTCTGCTMCGGATCAAAGATCGTCTATTAGAATAAGACATTATTCCTCCTTAACGGATGAAATGATTATCATTTGCAAATAAAGTGTGCTTAAAGTTTATGCAACAATATCACGTTGTATTAAACGTCACTTTTTGTATAATAAGTAACTATTTAATTTAGTTTAAAATAAATGTTTTGTATGAATCGTAAGGAGGAGTGAGACCTCTTACCTCTCTTCACTCATCTTTAGCTAGAGCTGCTAGTTCTGATGCTTTAAAGCTAACTAAACTTTTTATCTCTTTTTGATAATTATTACGAGTTTAAGCGTTACCCTACAAAATATATTCAAGGTTATTGTAGTTTAATATAAATTTTATTGTTGTTGACAAAAATTGAGACTAAATAATTTAAAAACAGACTTAGCGTTGTTACTGTGGTGCTAAT